TCTAAAAGCCATCTTTGTAGCTGACCCTTTCCTTCGGAATGTCCTTTGTTTCGCGAAAGAACGATCGTCTTCCGAACGGCCGAACGGGGCGACACCGCCTGGAACGCGTCCGCCCATCTGCAAGGACTTGCTCGTGTTCCACCAGCACCTGCTCCGCACATCCGTGAAGCGCCGATTTCCGGCCGCCCCGAACAGCTCGCTTTCCGGCCCCCGCAGTCCGAACACGCGGGGGGGGGGCGCCCGGTCCGTGGTCGGAGTCGTTCGGGACCCGTTCTGGGGCCCCGTGGTTCTGCATGGGCTGAGTTTGGGTGGCAGTCACTGCCATCTCTGAGCCAGGAACGAGGGCGCCCGAAAAAAAAAACAAAAACAAAAAACACGTGCTATGCTTGGGGAGCTTGGAGCGAGACAAGCTCGGTCACCTTCCCATTCCCTTCACCCTTGTGATCCTGTTCATTCATCTCCTACACCTCAAGTAAAAGAGAATCAGACACGAATGACCCTTGATTGATGAAAATGCATGAAAATGCTTCAAATGATACCCAAAAAGAGGAGTTTCAACATCGTTGCAGGGCGAAGATTCCCTTAAAAGACGTCTGTTCGTTCGAACGACTTCGCAGGTTCACCTCTCTCATCGATCCGACCGTTCTCGCGGAACATCACTACTCTCGTCCACCACACCTTGTCGTTCCAACGAAACTGGACAAAGACCGGCTCCACGATGCGGCGAATCTGTTTGGTGCTCTCGTTCCATTCCTCCGTTCGCGCGGGTCACGCCCATGCAGCCGGTGGCTCCCGGTGCCGTCGGAAAGGTCGGACAACCGACCGGGGGCTGAACCGAGCGATTCTGACGGTGAGAGTGTTCGATGGGAAGAACGTATTTGGAAGATGGAGGTTCGTTGGTGTCTCGTGCTCTCCTCGGGTTTCTCGTTGATCATTGATCGAAAGAATCATACAAAATGACAGAGTTAAGAGTGTATGGGCGTGGAACAAATCAGGGGCCCAGTCTGGACCCTTAGGTCAACCACGTGGTGGGCAGCCCAAAATACAATATGCTTGTAAGAAACAAAAACAAATGCTTTATTTGTTGGGGCTGCCCCTGAGAATCCATCCCCTTTATAACCTGGCAACCTATCCCTTCACCTTCCTGCAAAGGTTTCTGGACCCATGGCCTTTTTCGTGCTTCTTTTTGGCCCACACACATGCCCATAGCAGCGTCTCCAGTGCCGCTTTCCCACAGAAAAAGATATCTTTCCATCCAGAGATCGGTTTTCCATGTTTTTCCAAAAGAAATATATTATGGGTGTAATAAAGTAAACACTGCAAAAAAATGCAAACTCTGCGCAGCAGAACTCCGAGTTGGCACCAAATCTGGCAGACCAAGCAGCCAAAACCGTTTCGCCACATTCCACCTCCTGCGGTGAAAAGTGGAACGTCTCAGAGAGGTTTGGGAACACAAAGAAATCCCCTCCTCTTGAGTTTGCATTCAGTTGGTGACTTTGAGAGGGTCTATCCCCTAAAAGTCCAGTTCGACCCTTCGTGAAGTAAAGGACCTTCCCTTTCAGGTCCCCTTGTCAGACCATTCTTGTTGTACTCGTTGACTCTCAGGGTAGAAGCCCGGATCACCAAAAGGCCCAGTTGGGTACTTGGACATGTGAAGATCCCATTTTGTGTTCTTTGTTTTTTCTTGAAAAAAACCAGGTGGCCCTCTGATCACTCCACCCAAATGGTTCTTTTTGGATCTTTTTGGAGCTTATCTACCCAAGAACCAAAGCATTCTATACACTTGATACCCAAAAACAAAACTAATTCCTCGTGTGGTGTACTGATTTCTTCGTTTCGCTCTCCTTCCGCAAGGAGTCCAGGCTTTTGGCCTTGTCTCGTCCATAGGCATCTGGGTCAATCCCAGCCTTCTTCCTCGGCGATGTTCCGCACAGATCGCGCGTGGTGGATGGTCAGGTTGATGCCCCCAGCGGTGGGGTGATGGTCAGCCAAAGCTGTTGGAGGATCGGTCCGAAGTCCACGACGTGAAAGAAGAGTCTTTCCAGATGGGTCACGCATCCAAAGAAGGACTCAAAACAAAGGGAGCAATATAGTATATAGGTCCAAGTTACACATGTTCTTTGGTTGTGTACTCAAGAATTGTAAGACGCTTTCAGCTGTATAGACTCTCTTGCTACCCAAACCAAAAGACTGTGTGTTCTTTGGTCGGGAGTGTGGCGGCAAGGTCACTCCACCTCTTTTGTGGTCTACAAATTGTCTGTGTGTGCCTTCCCCAGCCAGATGCTCCACATATGAGAGTTTGGGTGCATCCTTGTTCACACCTGGCTGTCCAACAATGAACTGGACCCAATTGGAATATGAAGCAATGGCTGTGGTTCATCGTACCACCTTGTACAGCTTGATGTAAAAACACTCAAAATCACTGAAAGGAACACCCAGAAACCTCACAGTTTCATAAGCGCACATGTTTTCCCAAGCAACCTCCAAAATCCCAGCAAAACCCCAAGACAAGACCTCCACCCCAACCGGGCCGAGCTTCAAGTAGTGTGCCAAACCGCCATCCTTCAGCATCGCCGCCGACAGGACCTCGGACGGTCTGTTCGAGGGCCTCTGAGGGGCATTTCTTCTCGTGGATGGAAGGGTTTTTGAGGCTTCCTTACCCCTAAAAGTCAAACAACCATTGTTTTAATTGCCTTGGCCCTTTACCGAAAAAAGACAAACACGTGATGTTCTTCATCATCTTCATCAGTTCTTTGGTCTTTTTTAATCAGTCCTTCTTTCAAACGATCCAGGTTTTTCCCAGATCGAGAGTTTTTCGTGGCTTTTGGAAGAAGAAACGGATGCCACTAGCATCGCGAAGGGGCAACACCTGTTCGTTTGCATCGGTCCGGTGATCGCGTATCTCACCGGTCGCCAGCCGGGCGCCGATGCCGACTTCTCCGGAGCGTCGAGGGAGTTGTGAGAGCTGACCTCCAGAGATGGACGATGGTTTCGGGTTTGGGGCGCACGCACTTGAAGAGTTTGGTTCAGATGGTTCTCAGAAAAAAGACCTGAAATAGAACAAGAGGCTTTTCAAAATGTTGTGTGAAACAGGCCAGGGTTTGACCGAGCTCTGTTGCCTCACCTCAACAAACACTTGTCCTTTGCCCACCTATTAGTTAGCCAGGAATGCATCCCATCTACACCATCCACAATTTCTCAATGGCCTGCCCACACGCAGTGTATTGTGTTTCTCTCACTCTCTCTCTCTCTCTCCCGTTTTGGCTTGGGTCTTTTAGCAACTATCCCGGATGACTATACCCTCAAACAAAAATCGAACTGGACAATGGCTGCTCTCTACAGACAAATAAGTCTGGTTGCTGCAAAAGGTGGCCTATTGTCAAAAGGGTTTCCAATGAATGCAAATCATGCTGAGCAGCATGGCCTATCCCTGTATGATCTCCTTGTCTTCCCCAAGGGACTTCCAACGTTTGGATGTGCACATCGGGTCGGGCCCTCCGACGATGAAATCACTAGGTCTAGGTGCTCTCTGTCTCGGTACCCTCCCAGAAACACTGAGGGTTAGCAAGCCACTTCATGTCGCAATCCCTCCGTTTTCGATCCTTTTCTCAGCTCTGCTAGCTGCTAGTTCACAGCTCCGATCCGAACCTTTCCAATCGAAACCCCAAAACGCCTCCCACCCACTTCTCTCGCTGCGGTTCGAACCGCGAACCGCCCAGTGAGAACTGGCCGCCCGCACCGAAATCAGGGAGGGCCGCCCGCCGTGGGGGTTGGGCGCCAGCGACTTGGGCGGAAACTTCAGCACCTCGTGCGGCGCGTTTCTCGCGTCGTCGGCGTTTCGAGGTCGTGTCGAGGTCGATCCGGCCGTGGGCGAGTGGGTTCGAAGGTGCGAACGGGCCGTTCTTTAATGGTTGGCCAGTGTAGGTTGGGCCAGTCTGACGGAGTGAGTCGACGTCTTGCTCTGCCGTTTTTCACATCGAAGGCGATGTATGCTGCAGCGCATCTTTTTGGACCATGTCGACGGTTGATGCCATTTCAACCCCCAGAATGAAGGGGGCCTTAATCATAATCAAGAAGCTATTAGAAACAAGTGCCACGCTAGTAGTAACAGGTGCCTTACTAGTAGTAACAAGAAGCTATTAGAAACAAGTGCATCGCTACTAGTAACAGGTGCCATACTAGTAGTAACAAGAAGCTATTAGAATTATATTTAGATTCTTATTGTTACTAGTAGTAAGGCACCTGTTACTACTAGCGAGGCACCTGTTACTAGTAGAATTAAGGGTCTTTTGATGTCCAGGAACCGGTGTACCAACATCGAGGATGGAAAAAGCAGGCAAAACGCGGTGTTGCCGTCCCTCAACGCGGTGCAAAACTGGGACTTGAAGGTTACCACTTAAGAGATGGTACACTCACAGGAAGAATCATGGCTACGTGGAAAAAGGATGAACATGGACCCTTGGATGACCATGAAATACGCAGACCTAACAGGTGGTGAACTCCAAATCCATGATCTTTTCCAGGGAGTGTAGGTCATTTGGAACCACTTGGTAAGTCATATGTGGTAAGTCATCCTCCAACAGCGGAGCTGGACCGGCTCGGTGCTTTGGGTGGCATCCCAAAGAGCTTACAAGTGGATGCCAAGCACGTGGGATCATGCGGGTCCTACGATCTTCCGCTTCTTTTCATGGGCAAACGGCGATGTCCAGACTTGGTTGGTGGTCTCTACCATCGGTAGGAATCCCAACCGCGGGCGCAAGCAAATGAAAACCCGGCAAAACCAAGCTCCCCCAATACATGGCTCGACTTCCACATTGAATCTTGAGGGTCTAGGTTGCCGAGGAAAGACAAATGGGTTCAGGTAATGTAAACGACGAACATCATAGGATGAACATCCTGATACACTGTTCTCTTCATATGCAAAATGTCCCACATTCCGATGGCCACAAGCTCCAGTGTGCTGGAAAAACCAGCGAGATCATGCAGATATCCAACACAGTTCATGGTTGTTTCATGGGGAACTCTGCCAATCCTGAAGAGGACCACTGGAATCCAAAAACAGCCTCCAAGCCATTGACTCGGAAACCAGAGTCCGGCCGTAGCTCGCCGTAGCCGCCCACCAAGACTTGCACCAAAACCCTTAATGACCCCTCGCGTCCCTTCCTTCCTTCACCCACCTCTGGCACCCCCTCCCCTTCAGGCCACGAACTGCGAACCCACGAACCGCGACTGCGCTCGCCTCGCGCCCCAACCCTCGCCTCGCGCTTCAGGGCGGTGGCCACGTCGTCCCAGCGCCAGAAGAGCGTGATCTCGCCGTGGGAGGTCTTCTCCCGCGTCACGAAGTCCGAGAACTCCTCACTCCGACGGAACGGCGGTTCGTTCCCACACAACGGGACGGTTCCGCCAGTCTTGCGGTGAGTTCGTTCCAAGCAGGGTCGGTGGGGTGAACACCAGGGGTCGTGGGTCCAAGCAGGGTGTAAAAACGGGAAGGAACGGGGTCAAAACGGGTGTGGGCTGGGGACTAGCGGTCCGAAGGTTGAGTTCAAGATGATGGAGATGGTAGGGGTTGGGAATCGGGGAACTTGGATTGCAATCTTTTTGAGGGCTTCTTTTTTGAGGTGCATTTGGGGGCCACTAGTACTATGCACCACTCTCTCAAAAACCAATCTAGAAACACATCTCAATCTACTCTTGGGAATGTCCATCTTTGTTTAGTGAAGGGTGTTTTGTCTTCCCGTTCATCTCAGCAAATAAGCCTCACACATGGCGACGCCCCGCGAAATCTGGTGCACCGGCTATAGCGGAGCTTCCTTGAGCTTGGCTAACCCGTTCGCCAACCTCCACACCTTCTTCCAAAAGAAACGAAAGCTCCACCATTCATCCAGCCCTTCCACGGACCCGCCGTGCGTTCTCACGCGTTCTTGCCCAAAACCACTGGGACTCCCCACCGGAAGACCACAGTGCATGAAGCTGTCGAGGCCTCGCAAATCCGACAGCAGTCGCTCCCGTTCCCCGTTCGCTGCTGTCGAGACGAGACTTCCCAGCGAGAGACTTGAGAGACTTGTCCCGGCGGAAAAAAGGCCTGGAAGACCACAAGACTTGGAAATGTTGAGAGTCAGGTGGAAAAGGTTCTTCTGGTGGATGTGAAGAAATCCAGTTTTTGAAGACATCAAGGAGGAATGGGATGATAGGGAGCTCTAAAGACTCTTACAGGATGTTGCTCCACAACCAGGATGCTGGCCTTTTTACAACAAGGATTCACCAAAAAGGACGGTTTGCTTGTCTGAACACCACTTGATGTCCACCTCCAGCCTTTCCAGGAACTTCTCTGAACCTGAATTTGGATCCAAGAACGCCCGACGGCAAGGGCGCCTGTCTCAAGAATATCCACCTGAACGTGATGTGTGCGGTAGGCAGATGCCAATCCTGGCCGAGACCGAGATGGTTCGAACTGTTTGGAGCTGTTGGGTAGTCCTCAAAACCAAGGTGAGGATCATCCGGGCCATTAGGCTGTGGGCTCTACACATAAGGCGCAACATAGCAGGCATGAAAAGACATGCCCCATTTTGTTGTTTCCCCTGGGGTGACTCCACGTCTTAAAGATAAACCATGTATCGACGCCGACCGACAGCCCCCACATGGTCGTTCACCATGGTCGTTCACCACCAGAGCTCCAAAACAGAAAGAGTCGACTGCATGTTCCTGACCCAAAAGGGTTGCTCTTTCTACCCGTTTTCCACATGTCATATAGTACGTAGTACGAATATAATATGATGTATATACATATTCTTTGGTCTCAAAACGACGTGTCTTTTTGCACACTCCTGGATAGGATGGCGAGTCGATGTGTTCAATCTCGAAGTGGTAGGTGTCAGGGCCTCATGGTGTCGAGAGATGTCGGAGGAGCACGCGAGGCCCGGAGGAGGTCGGGTGGTGCCGGTGGTTTGCCGTCTCAGGTGCCCTCTCAGTGCACCAAGAAAAGAAACTGGACGCTTCTGCCTGAATTGGGGTTCATTGGGGGTCGACACCTTTGTCTTCGTCTTCAGAGTTCCCAAAGTGCAAGTGAGTTGGTTTTAGTGTTTTGAAGAAGTTGAGTCAGAGTCTCAGAGTCTAAGCGTAACACCATACATACACCATCTTTCCAAAACTGCTTCCATCGCCGAAATCCATCGCGGAGCCTGGTGTTGGGGGGACCTTCAGAGTGTCCAGTATTTCTCTCATCGAAGCACTCCCCGCCGAGTCACTGCTCCGTGAGGCTTTGGGCCGAGCCAAAGCACGCCATTCATGTCATGCCGAGCGAATCATTCAGACAGACTGGCATTCCATTCCCTCTCAAGACTGGCGAACCAATCGGCGGATGGTTTTGACCTGTAGATCTTGCAAATGTATGCCCTTCGGGTCTGCCCTGGGCTGGTTTTATGGATGAAAAGCCAGAAATGTTTTGTAGTAACAAGAAGCTACTAGTAACAAGTGCATCGCTAGTAGTAACAGGTGCCTTACTAGTAGTAACAAGAAGCTATTAAGCTATTAGAAACAAGAAGCTTGCATAGTTCGAACATCGAAGTATGGAGTCCATGGAGCTGAGGCGAGCGAAGAGTCCAGAAGGGGTCCTCCCATGCATCAACTCGGTCGACGTAGAAGGCGCCTCCCCACCATGTCCCTCCCATATACAATGCAATGCAGACTGATCAACAAACCACCTAGACCCATGGAGAGGGCAATCCAAATGGAGAGTGTCTACCGCTAGACCCAATAGGTCGTCCCAGAGTACAGGTCGGCCAACGAGGCCGTCGCCAGGGTCACCGGGCGGTATTGCATCACGTCCTCTCGACCCAGGTCCTGGTGACGTCACCGGACCGTGGAGGTGACCGTAAAACGAAAGAACACAAACCGGTGGGTTCGGATTCTCGGGGAAACAGATGAAACTGGGTGACGCCCCCAAAAACTAACAACTTAGGAGGATTTGGTCTAGAACCTATGGTTTTGACCTTGGCCCCCACACCATCCTTCAAAAGCGGCCTCGACTTTCCGGTCCCTTCATACCAAAAACCACTCACTAACACCGAGATCTCAAAAAAATCGGCGAACACCGCGGATCCGCGGTGTAAAGGCGGGATCTGAAGACCGTCTGGATGGATCGATCACTCCTCCAGTGGCACGCCCAGCTCTTCGTGGATGGCGCGGTGGATGGTGCTCAGAATGCCCCCCGAGTCCCGAGGTTCCTGGAATTCACCGGGAAGGGCGCCGCGGAGCACGCGAGATCCGGGGTGTCTGGCAACCGGTCGCGCCCGGGTCGAAAGTCGGGAAAGTGAGAGAGTGGGCGGAAGACGGAGGTGGTGGAAAGAAGCTTTGAAAGAAGCGAGAGTTCAAGGTGAACCGTAGATTCTTGCATATTCTTGCGGAGTGCAAATAGTCAGGATTATAGTTATGAGTCTTATGAAGTATATATCGTTCCGAATTCTGGGTTTGTCAAACTCAAGGCCAACAAACACCCTGCTACGAAGTAGTTCGGAGTAGGTGAGACCCAAACAAAAGTGACGATCTGTCAGGGTGCTGCGAAAGTAGGGTGAAACCAAAACAGGGAGAAAACAGGATACCAATTCGTTATTCCCTAGTCGCGCCAGGATTTTGTTATTTCCACCAACTCCCCTTAAAAAAACCTTGACGTCGGATGGCCCGGGAGCGTGGAAGGAAAGGTTATGTAGAAATAAGAGATGTGTATAAATACATCTGAGAGTGTTATAGCTGTGTGTGCATGTAGGCTACAAGATGTTGCAAGTAGACGTGCAGACGCGCGTTTCTAGAGTTGTTACATCCCGCTCCCCAATGACACGCCGAATATTCACCAGCGTGCTTTCCTTCCTCCAATGGCAGGGACTCACGCAAACGGACTTTCCACCGTGGCCACACGAAACCACATGGCACAGCGACATCACAGACGGCATTTGGCCACTTGTACTACCATGCTTCTAGAAGCTGCTTCCCGCACTACATTTAGTACTACCAAGTGGCCACTTGCTGCAGCTCCCAGGGCTGCTTCCCGCATTTGCCCACTGCGGCCACAGCTCTCAGAGCTGCTTCGCTAGTGCACTACATTCGCACTACCAAGGCCCCATTTCGACGACAGCTACACACTTTAGCAACCTCCAGTTTCCGGCACCATTTGCGACGACAGTCCAAAGTGCGGTCTGTCACCGCCACTTTCGACGACAGTCACACACTTCGGCAACCAAATTTGCATGTCACCACACCTTTGAACACTCGACACACACGATCTCCGCAGGGGTTCACCGCGGCCAGGCCAAATGCGCATGTCACCAAATGTTTGAGCACTCCACGCGCACGATCTTCGCAGAGGGTTCATCCGCTCCACCCAGGCACTACACGTTTGAGCATTCGACACGCATCTCCGGAGAGGAGTGCCTCGGGCCAAGCCCGAATTCGCATTTCACCACACGTTTGAGCACTCGACACGCACAATCTCTGCAGAGGGTCACGTTTCGCAAGCTTTGTCTGGCCAAGCCACGGCTAGGAAAGAAGAGATAGATAGCCGAGACAGACATATCACTCACACGCGAAGAAACATATATTTTATTTGTGTACTGTTTCACTCTATATTGTAGCACATATTTACTTTTAGCATATGCTTACTGCAGCAAGACCCCAGCGAAAGTTATACTTGTTTTTGGCAACACCGCCGTTAGCGGCTGTGGGGATTTTCCTACTTTTTGCAAATCTTTAGGTTCAATTGGATTTGGGGTTCCACTAGGTGGGACTTTACTTTTCCAGCCTCATTCGCGTCGTACCTCGTCCGTTCATCTGCCATTGTGAGGGCGTCAAGCTTACCGAACCGACCGTTTTCACTCTCACGGCTGTGGAGTTCTTTGAGTTCTTCTTGCTGCTGCTGGCTTTGCGTCAACTACGAGGGGTGCCCTGGGATTACCGCGTCAACTGACTCCGCTGCTGGTGATGAGTCGGTTTGAGTTGTACGAGACGTGCATGGTGCTTTCCCCTCGACTCTATGACCCGGTCATGGCTTCGACTCTGCTTCTCACAGAGGGCCACAGGGAAGTGCCGTTCTCTTGCTTGTCTGTGCAGATGCTTCGGTTCTGTGCAGATGCCTCGGTTCCTTCGGTTCTGTGCATGGTGCTGGCACACAGGCGCTGGATTCCTTGTGGAGACGACTCAAAGAATTCATACCAAAAAAACTGGCCACAAAGATGTCAAGAGTCGTCGAGTGAATCCAGATATGCACAACTGGGTTTTTGCGTAGCAGTGGCGGCACAATGCCCAGATCCGCTGTCAGAACCTTTTGGGCAGCAGTCCCTGAACTCTTCCGTTGACCCGCGTGTGCAAAATTCAGCGTGTGCCAAATACCCACAGCCGCTAACGGCATTCCCTTGTTTTTGCACATGATTTTACAGCGAAATTTATCCAAGCAAGATCCCAGCACCAAAGCCATCTACCAAAGCAAGATCCCAGCACCGAAGCAAGTCACCAAAGCAAGATCCCAGCACCAAAGCAATGCTAGCGTAGCAGCAGCTCTACACAACCATATCTGCAAGGTGCAGATGTACTTCTAGCAGTCTAGCATACCTATTGTAGCATACATCCAACTGCAGCTGTATCAATTACAAAGGTATTTGCAAACAAATGTGTTGGTACCTCCCTAGCAGCAGGTCTAGAAGACCATGCATGCAAGCTGCAGATGTACTTGTAGCATATATACCAATGCTGTTATGGTAGAAAGCCACGCATACAAGCTGCAGATGTAGCCTATAGCATACTTATAGCATACATGCCAATGCAGCTATGAACAAGCCAGAAAGATATTGATGCAGATGTGTTATGCAAAAGATTTCTACAGAAGAACCCTTCGCAACGCTCCCGGAACAAAGAAACCTGCTGTCCTACCTCATCTGTTTTTTTGCAGGTGATTGCAGTACTGCTAAGATTCACATTACTCATCACATGCCCATTCGCCCCGCAAGCACTCCCCCGGGCCTTCTTTTCCGCCAACAACATGTTCCGCACGCGGAAGCGACCATCAGGGAACTGCTGCTTCTCCTGACAGGTTTCCCATTGCTCCCTTCGATGGAAGTCAGAAGTCGACTTGACTGGGGCGTCCAAACCATTGCTTCTTCCCAAAAAGGAGCCAGGTTTCACCACCGGTTTCACCTCCTCCCCACTCGGTGAAACACCACCACCGTGGTGGACCGGTGAACCGTCCTGCACCAGGACACGTCCACGAAAGCGAAGACGAATGAAGATCGGTTCCACCTGGGAGCGCCGCCGCGGCCCGCGGCGCGCGGCGCGCGGTCACGCGAGACCTGGAAAATCCACGCAAGAGATAGAAAAGGCCTTATTGGATGTGATTTCGATTGAAGTCACTTGACTCAACTAGCCAGGGGGACATATTTGCGTGCAGTATCCCAGCGGTATAGCAAAGGTTTGGGCAGAAGTTGAAGGGTATATGATGTCGCATCTTCAACAACTTGTGAAACAAAATCTCCAGACCCAAGCTCCTTGCTTTCAACACAGAAACTTGCTCTTTTCCTCAGCCAACCCAATCCGAAACCGCTTTCCAATCAGCCAAGGCTGGGCCAGGCGTCTCCGACGGATGTGTCTCCCAAAGCGACGGGTCTCCGACTTGGTCTCCGGACCACGCGCAGTGGGCTGCTGCGGCGCTCAGACCGGGGCGCGCCGGGCGCGGAGGTGGGGGACGCGAGGGAGGGCGATTCCAAGTAGCAGGTGCCTTCCTTCAGCTCCTGGGCCCGATAGTGGCGCGACAGGCGGCGCCTTCTGCGGCGCGACTGGTGAAGACAAAGGATTTGAGAAGATTTCGAGATGTAGAAGGCCTGTGAATGTGACCAGCTCAAGCGCGAAAAAAGAGACATGCACCAAAGCAAGTTCCCAGCTACTTTCGATTCGTCAGTGGGACTGTCTCAAGGAGCAAACCTCTCCATCGCACATGCAACCGAGGACATTTGGAAAACGAGGAAACCATCATTCTGGCCGACACCATCGAATTAGGCTGCCCACCACTTTCTCCACCTCTCTTCCCCATCGCCCAAACGCTAGCGCTGTCAGCACTCACCACTTGCTGGGGTGCCGGGCATGGTAGAGCCACGCCAGCGGCTTGGCGTTGCCCTTGCCGAATTTGCTGGTGTTCACACCCGCCGACTCCAAATACTCCTGGCGCAAGAGCGGACGGTGGGGTCACTTTAAGCCAAAGGATGGGACCACATGTCTCCGTGTCGGACAAAAACGGCCGAAAGGAATCAAACAAGTCACACCAAGTGGCAGTGAACCTTCATGTAGAAACAAAGATGGACACTGACGAGTGATTCAGCTTTTATTGTAAGAAAGCAGATGGCTCGTTCAATTCTTGTACACCATTGGCTGCCAAGGTTGAGACTTCATGATGTCTTGCTCCTCTTAACCATGGCTTCTCCAAGACGATATGCAAAAACACTGGAGGGGAGAATTCATTGACCTTCCCTTCGAGGGGGCTGATCAGTTGAATTTCTTGAACAGACCAACCCAGCAAATCCCAGCAAATCATAACAAATCTATCCATATTTAGCACACTGTGATCGAAAAGACTCATTGAACCCGTTGGGCCATAGTTTTGTGTGTGTGTGTTGCTTGAGGATGTCTTATTCGTAGATAGTCTAAGGTGGGAAGAAATGCATGCAGCAAAGAGGAACAGCGGTGAAACTTCAGCAAGTGGCAAGTACTCTTCAATTGGATGCAGAAATCAACAGGAATCCTCTTGCAACATGCTGGGTGGTGCCACCCAGATCTGTTTCACTGAAAACATGCTCCATCTCCCACCTGCAGGGCTTGCTCAGAGCTCAAGTAGTGTGGCAGTGAGCTCTTCTGGCGGAAGCAAAACGGTATCAACGGAAACCACAAAAGCTCGTCCAGCTCCCTTCTTAAGTCAAAAGGCCTTTTATTAGAAGGAGAATGGCTTAGAGGCTAAGGGTTACAAGCTATCTGAACCACCGTCCCACGGCAATCAAGCACACATCAAGACCAACAAAGCACATGATGCAATTTAAAAAAAAAAGACAAGAAACGGGACATCCGTGCTCCCGTTCCAAAAAGACACGTCCCTTTTCCCTTGTTCACCTGAGGTCCCGGTCGCACCTCCAAGGACACTTCGGCCAAAGGCGAAGGCATCGTGACGACGTTCGACGTCCTGTGGATCCGCCGTGGATCCACGCGGGCGAACGACCGGAAACGGCCAGGCTGGATAGGGGATGGGACGGTGCTCCAACAAAGGAGCAAAGCCCAGGATGGGGCTGGGGAGGTCTTCACCACCTGAGTGAAGCCTTGAAACGGTGACCTGGCAGAACTTCTATGAGCGTCAACTCCAGGCCGACTCCAGGCCAACCGTGGGTCATGGCACGATCCCCTTTCACCAGGGTAGGCTGACCTCGCGCAAGGTCGTCCAGTCTGTTCATTTTCTCTGGTCAACCCACACCCTCCGCCCGGTGGAAAGACCCACACCCTCCGCTCAGTGAGCGGACCTCAAAAACCCTTCCGACGAAGTCGACGAAGGGTTTTTAGGCTCTTCAGGTCTGATCTTGATCGATCCGAATCATGGCCGTTGGTTCCCACGTTCTTCACCTGGTTCGCCACAACCCTTCCTGGTTCGCTGGATTTGGTCTTTCGGGGTCCCCGGCGCAAAAAGCTTTGGCGGCGACACCGGTCGCAGCAACCTGATGGCGACGGCGACTGGTCGACGCCGTTCCAAGCGATGGGGATTTTCGGGTCGTGCTACGTCGATCTCTCGGCCAAGATGAGGGCCACGTGGATCTCGCTTCTGCTGCCCCCCGGGAAGACGGGGAAAAGGCCCGAAGGAGACAGCAAACTAAGTGTCCGAGTACAGACTTGCAAAGCAGGTCTCAGGTCAGCTTTTTATTGGACGTTACAACATGTATTTTTGGTTTTATGGTTATTGGATGTTATTGGTATGGAATTCACTGTTATTAATTGGTCTCCACGGGCTCCTTCAGGAGACCCGGTTGTTCAGACACGTCTGTCGAGCGTGGGCTCCGACACTGGCCAGCTGAATCCCTCAAACAGCCCATGAAAGGCCTTCGGTGTTCTCTTGGAGTATGAAGAGCGGCCTTGATCTCGGATTTCGGGATCTCAAGCTTGTCCAGCAGGGAAATTGGACCAAGCGAACATAAGCGAACCAACGAGAGATGTTTGCTTGGAACCTTTGTCAAGCCTCCAGTTCCGTGTCTTGGACGAGGCTTCTTCTCTTTCTACACCGTCTGCATTAGAATCATTAGCTAGTCACAGCACTTACCACAGTTACGGTAAAGCAACAGTGTTACACAGGCACTGTCCATATCGAATCCTCCTTGACCCACCTCGGGGCTTCTTGGTTTCAGGGGTCACTTGGGCATCTATCAGTCTCCACCGGGGCGAGGACGAACTCATCCCGCACGTCGCCCCTGGCGTCGCCCCTGGGATTCCAAGCAGTCGTGCACCTCCGGTGGGGTCAGGTGGCGGGCCGTCTGTCGAGTCCAGTCTGAGTCCTCGACTACCTGGGGAACCCCGCTTGACCAGCGAAAATGAACAAATCCAAGGTGGCAAACCTACCAGGGTTTTGACCCAGCCCCACAAGGAATGATCTGGGTTAAGGCTTCATAAGACCCTAAGATAGACAACGTAACAAACTCGTAACTTATCCTTTATCATTCACACAAAGGATGGTTGGAAGGTGGTCTCCCTATCCCAAAACGCACCCATATCCCATCTAGCTAGCTCAGCTTGTAGCTTTCGCGTCTGCGCTCAGCTTATGTGCGTCTGCCCCAGCTCTTTGAGTCGAAGCTGCTTTCAGTCACCGGGGAAGAACAGGGGTCAAACGCAGATTGCGGTCAACCGAAAGACACCAATTGCGGTCAATTGGGTCAAACACACGGAAGCCTGGTGATTTCACAAATGAACCAATTTACAGTGACCATCAGTGACAAGCATGATGCTGAGGCACTTTGGTGATCTTTAGAAGCAAACCCATTGTAGCTCGTGGGTTACATTGGTTGTTTGAGCACTGCGGCACTGAACCTTGGCGGCAGTGCTCTCGACTAAGCAGAAGTCATCCCAACAATTCATCTGCTAGCAATGATTCTCTAGATTTGCCAACAAAAGGAAACAACAAATGCCTCACTCCAATGGCTGGCGCGATGCGCTCTAAATGCTCTCTGCGCAACCCCCGGCTCCGCGGCAGCAAGAACTGGCCGAGCAGCAGTTGGTTGGTCGCACAATCGCGGGTTCCACGAGCGGCACACCAACAAAAGCGGTCCACGTGACGAGCGAGAGAGCACTGATGGCTGCGTTAGAGACGTCAGGATCGGCCCACAGCGGGGTGGAGGGGCCTGGGTAAGGAATGGCCCCGTCATACGTAGATAGAAGTTCGTGGTCATCCCCACGTCGAAAATGTCTTTGCTCAACCGTGCCATCCTCTCTATTGGGGGCCCGGGCGGCCCGGGCGTCGAACGCGGCTTTTGGTGGCTTAGGCTCTTCGGTGCCGTAGAGCAGAGGATGCTTGTGTGTGGACTCGGTTTCCGTCAACCTGTCTCAACCTGTGCTTTGAGATCCTCCAAGTCAGGTTTTTTTGAGATCCCAACCTGCAGCTTAACCTGTGACGAGCACAACCGATCCTTCCGGAGGATCTCAACCTGCAGCTTTTTGTTGGGATCCAATGACCAGGTTTCAGTGGATGATGGTTGCAGGCCGGATCCTGTGACTGGAGTCGAAGAAACACGCCCGGCCTTCAAGTCGATTCATGATGTCTTCGATTCGGAGGCAAATCTGACTGGATGCAATGCGAAGAATGCAATGATCTCAAAAACAACTGCCTGTGGTCATTCCTAAGAACGGCCTGTGAAGGCCGAATGTTCCGTTGCCTTGGCATGGAACATGCGTGACATGGTGCAAAATCTGGCCGCAGTGACATTGATTCTCTGTCGGCCACCTCAAAAGTTACATCAAATAGGCCCAGCCCTATCTACTGGTTTGATATAATGCTGAGGCCTCTCAAAAAGGATGCAACAGCCTAACCAAGGATTGTTCATACCCGTATGGGTATGGAAGAAAGACTTGGTCATGTCCATGTCAACCAACCCTGTCCTTGATGCTGCTCGGTAAAATGCGAAAAACCACGTCTTCACCACAAGCCCTGGGTCACCTACCGATTTCCAACCACAGATCTGCCGAAGTCAGTCCTCCGGGTCCGAATTTCGGGAGCCGAGGCAGGGTCAAAGGGTCCTCCCTCTGGGCCTGCAAAAAGCAGCTTTGGATTGCATCACCCTTCAGGGGACAACAATTGAGTTATAGCCCCAGCTTCGACTCGCCCCGGCCCAGACCGGTCGACGGTCGACTCGACCACGTCGACTCGACAACGGGTGCCGCGCTGGCACTGCGCCGCTCCAGCGTGTAGAGAGGGCCCCTTGTTCCGGGCGGCTTTTTTCCGCAGGTGAAGCGTGGAAGGGCGGTCGTCACCGACATGGGAAGCGCTGGCAGCGTGGATCTGGTTGAACCACAAAGACAGACCACTACAGAGGAATGACTTGGATGGGGCAGGTGGGGCTCTTTATGTCAAGTGATGCAGGTGTAACATGCTACGAAACCAGGTGTTGAGCCGTCTTTCATTGTTTGGTCTGTTTCTCGATGAAACAACCCGCCAACCCCTGCCGGGTAGAGATGAAAAAGGATCGAAAATCAATCGATTCGATTCCCATGTGGTGTCTGCATGTTCACATGTTCACCCTTTTATGTGAAACCTCTATATATAGGGATACCAGATACCAGGCTAGGGGCTAGGGATACTCAAACATAGATCAGCTGAAATTAAACTATTTGACTGTGGCAAAACACCCATGAACTTCCCATATGGTCTTGGGAGTCATCTGGTTTGGACCCACGCTCACAAGAAATCTACTTTGACAGTGAGTTCACTCTTTGAATCCATTGGAAGATGTTGCATATGTTGAAATGTTCACACGAAATCCTCCTTCTCGCTGAAAACAACCCCCTTTCCCAGTCATGGTGTTTTGTCTTTTTCCCTGTCACGTCCCGCACCTAAGCCGTGCCCGCGCTTTTGCACGGTCAGACTCGGGGCCACTGGGCCTCGGTGTTTGAGGTGACTGTGAATGATGTGAAACTGCGTCACCTGACCTACACTCCCTGGAATCATCATAGTTACGTGGATGGCATGGCCCCTGCTGACCTATGCCCTATTGGCCCTATGCCCTTCTTCATCAACAAGTGTCTTGGTGTGGTTTTCTGCTCAATCGGAAAGCCAACTGAAACGAGAAAGACGCACCAAAGAGCACTTCGATCGAATTGCAATTTGTCCAGGAGCCCCAGCTGCCGCCGGAGGCCACTGGAAGGTCGAGCCTGTGAATGTGATATGGCGGGCACAGGACCGCTCGCCACCTTCCAAGGAAACCTGGGCCTTCTTCCAATTCTCAGGCTTGAAAGAACTGGGCCTTCTTCCAGAAAAGCGAAACCGAAAACAAAAGCATACCATTTGGCACTTAATGGAGGACATTGGCGAGAGGGAGGCTCACAGACCATGAGATGCAACCTCGCCCTGAAATCCCAAAGAAAGTGGCTGGAGGCCATCGCTAGTAGGTTGGAGGCCATCGCTACTAGAAACAAGCAAAGAAAAGGAAGAAAGGGTCCAATATACCTGCAGGCACAAGACGGGGTGCTATCCATGGAGGTTAGTGCCCAGAACATCCACTCACTTCAAAAGTAAACACCACCCCGTACTTGTGACTCCTGGTAGTTTGCTATTAGGTGCAGGCCATGTGGAGTCTACCGTGGCACCTGCGGAGTCTTCGAGAAATCGGTGTCCAGCTGGTAGGCTTGTCTGACCTGTGAATCGGCGAGGCCACTTCAGGGTCCAAATGGAAGGAGTCTTGCGCCACAAAAGGCGGAACGCACTGCAACAGGAACGTCTGCAACAGGTCGCACCTGCTAGCAGCTCTGCGAAACTTGGAAGCCAAAATGGGTATCCACAGTCACTGGTTCCCCCAACAAGAAGGGCAGATCACAAAACCCATTGGTCGCGGCCAGCGACTCAACAAAGTCACGACTGCGACCAGGACACATGGTGGATGGAAGGCCTTTTGATGGACCAAACCTTTCAAAGGCCTGCCACTACAAATCTGCTCGACTCTGGGCACCCAATACACCCCTGACAAGTTTCTTCAACCTTCTGCTGCACGTGAAAAGCACCATCATGTTCCAACCAACGAAGACCCGAACAACTGGAGCTTTTGCAGTTTCACAGAGCCTGGGAGACCTGAAAAAGAATCTGTTCCATGGCAAGCAAGCACTGCCGGAAAAACGGCCATAGCTTATATGGGTGTGTAATTGAAAATCAGAGACCACCCAGCCAATGGGTTGTGGTCCATTTCCCTTCTTCCAGAAGGTCTTTGGATACAATCCCCCATATCATGTCCATCGCCGCCTCGCGCAAGCGCGGGGGCAGCTCCTTCGGCTTCGGAAAGCTGCTTCGTGCTTCCGCCGCTTCCGCACGAGCACTCGTGGCCTCAAAAGCGGGGGACTTGAAAAGCAAAAAACGCTGCGGATGGATGCACATCACACAATGTTCCACAACCACTTGTTACAAAATCATCCGCCTTTTTCATGGCTGAGAGGAGAAATAGCTGCTTTCAAGGATTTCGATTGAAACCGGATACTTTGGCCTTTGAACATCCCGAGCGAAAACGAGCGAACACGGGCTTTTCAAGCCTCACCCGGCTCGTTTGTCCGGTTCTTTTCAGAGTTGGGTGGCTTTGAGCTGTCCATGTTGCACAAACAGATTTTGCAGAGAAGTTGGGAGAAAACAAAAATGAACTTTTACCAGCACCTTCCAACAGGTCTCCTAACCGGGTTCGGAAGGGCCCTAACAGGTTTCAATTGGTGACCTGTTGGAGGTGCTGGTACATGATGTTCAATATCCTTCAGTGCTTTCTCTCATCTCATCAGCACGTTCTGGCTCGAGCCAGCACCAACAAACCTCCTCCCCTTTTTCACGGGAAACCCCCTTTCTTCCCGCATCACAACCAATCAAAACCAGCCACGACACCGCACCCGCACCCCGCCTTGCGGTCGCAGCCGCAAAGGCCTCGCACCTGACGGTCGAGCACGGCACGGTCCGAGCCGGGTCGTCGGGTCGGGAGCGTCAACCGGATGGGTGGTTGGGCAGCCCGGTCGAGACCCCTTGACCCTTTGGGGACCATCCCAAGCAAGTGAACACTCTAGCTGGCTTCGAAGGATGTGTAGACAGGCTCTTTAATGGCCTTAATGAACCTGTCAGATGGCTTCATGATATTAGAGACGCGTGGCGCCTCGAACAGCTCAAAAGAGTTGCCGTTAATCGTCCAGATTTTGATGTACCTAGCATGGAGTAGATACGGATGCGTCCATTGTCTTTTTGTCCCACCTGACCCAGCTTGCTGTATCCACAAACGATCCTGTCTGTAAGGAAGACGCAGTGCAAGAAGCAAACGGAAACTTCTTCGGCTACTCCAGCAGTGAGGATTGTTCACCAGATACCGCATCAACTGACACCGCAAAGGGCGGGCCCCGAACACGTTGCACCTGTTCAGTTGGTCGCGGTTCTGAAGCGTGGGAAACGTGGCCTCTTGGTTCTGCACAGATCCGTCATTTTGCATGAATAAATCATCTCATATCATCCAGGCGAACGCCCTTGTGTTCGTTTTGCCACAATTCTCACCGTTGATCATGCTCTAAAGAACGAGGTGCGGCTCCAGAAGACTCTTGTCAAGATCTGGAGGACCCATATTAAGAATTATCTTGGATACTCATGATACTCACTGGTATCCGCAGCTCAGCCCTGTGAACAACCGACAACTACCCACGCTGCTGCATCCAATTATATATACCACCAAATCCAATAGTATCCAGGAAAATGGTCATCACATAGTCTCTCTCTCTCCAGCGGCGGAGTGCTTTGTCAAAAGTGCGGTAAGTACACTAGTGAGCCCAAGCAGCGACGACCCAAAAATAGCAAGGACCCCTGTCGACAGGCACACCTTCCACAAGAATTTTGGACGAACACTCCTTCTTTCAAAGATAATCCTAACATATCCTAACCATCATCTGGAAAGTTTCGTTGCTATTCTTAAAGTTGAATCCGAGCATCAGCTTGCGTGGAATTTGTCCATTTCCAACACCCAGCCTGTAGGTATGCTCCGTTGTTTAAGATGTTCGACCACCTTTCCATGGAATAACCGCTGCATTTTGAAGAGGTAGAGAAAATGCACGAATGTGCATTGCAGGGAGGCTACCCCGCCTCGTTGGATTAGCGACCTATGTATCACGAAAACTATCGTACTGCCTTTTTGAGGGTAAAATCAGCACTTGCACCTAATATGTCTCAGGTTCTTTGCAAGCGGCTGCTCCACCTTCAGCATCAGACCAACAACCCCGACATCGATTGTGTACTAAGACTTCAGTTTCACACTTCGTCTCGTGTCCGGTCCAGATCTTACCGCATGGTGCGCCTAATCCCGACTCTGCTGTTCCGGCGGAAGGTTTGCAGTCAGAGCTTTTGGTCCACTTCGACGACATGGGTTAGATCTCTCCAACAAGTGTGCTGCAGCGGCCCAGTTACCCTTGCCATGACAACACTTTTGGGAGCCCAACAAGCGCCGAAGGTACCAAAATTTGACCCCTTGAAGGACCCTTCTTCAGTACCAAAATTTGACCCCTTCTTCAGACCGTTCTCCAAGATTCGGGTGGAAACATGGGCGCAAACCACGATCTATTCGCACCGCCACACTGGTGCCTTTTTGACCAGCCCCACTTGTTCGCACCTCCACAACCAGGCACCAGCGCCCCGCGTTCCGCGCCGCGTTCCGCGCGCCGCGTTCCGCGCGCCGCGTGTCACCTCGGTGAGGCGCAGGGGCACCCACTTCGACGGCAGCTGGCAGCGTTCGTCACGCTGCGACAGGACGAAAGGCTCCTGGGAAGGCCGCAGGCGTTTGGGGACCCCAAAAACGCAAGTTTGGGGGGGGCCATGGCCTGCACTTCAGAGTCCATCAAGTCGTTTTTGGTTTGGATCCTGGATCAAATCTGTTTCGGTCAGTCAATCAATACTTCAGGACTTACATCCACATACGGTTCCGTAGCATCTCTAGCACAGCGCTGAAATCGCCCATCCTCTCCTCCAAGCGAGGGTGGTTCTCTTTGTCCAGGCATTCCGACATCCGGGGCGCAGAAAAGGGCTGCGGTGGATTTGTTTTTCTGACCTACATGGCTGCAGGCCAAAACTGCCTCGGTGTTTACTTCTCTTTCTCCCAACGCAACCTTGATGCACCGTAGAAGCATCAGCTTGGAAAGGGAAGATGGGGCGCATTCCGTCGGCAAGATGCATCATGTATATAAGTATGCTGGAAGAAGGTAGTGGAACATGTTCCTCCAAATCTGCCCCTGGGCAGCTTGTTCTGAACTCGAGCACCTCGCCTCTGAACTTCTGCGTTGATGATCCTACACCGAGCCTCGAGGGCAGGCGGCCCCAGACCATTCACGTTGAGGCTGATCATTGCTCCAAAGAAGAGACCCACTTGGAACCCGAAAATTGACCTTTGGAAGACTGTCTTCCTCTAGCTTCCTCCAGGATCCTTTCTTTCAAACGGCCAGGGGCCTATCCCCCGCCTCCCTGTTCCCCAGCTCCCTTTCCCTACGAAGAAAAAGGATTCTTCCGGTCCAGTGACGAGATGCCGCTCTTCACGTTCAACAGGGCCACCACGTCTTGATCTTCGGTGGCCATACAGCGGCATCCGTGCCCTCTTCTACCAGTCGCAGCACACCGACCCACTGGTCGTGTAAATCCGGGAAACCCCCTCCGTCCTCTTGCCCCTGGCGTAGACGGTAGACGGGGTCTATGTTCCGAACCTTCCGGGGTCGGAACGCCTGAACACACCCAAATGTTGAACTCATCACGGATCCTCAGCACTCCGCAGACTCTATCCATTCAAGTCAGTCCATCTGCGGTCGCGCGTAGCCACATTTATGCCTAAACCCTGAGTGACCTCGGGTTTCTAGATACACATGTTGAGGTCGTTTTTGCTCCTGGACACCACATGGTCACCTGGAGCTTTCTTCGTTTGCCGCTGGGAACCCGCCTGCGGCATGGTGCACATCCAGCGAGTGCCTCGCGGGCGAGGGCGAGTCGCGGAGCCCCCCGTGGGCGGCTCAGCGACATGGGTACGGGGGACCGTTAGGTGGGGGAGAGAAGCAAATGGAGGAGTTGGAAGGAATTCATGTAAATTCCAGGCCAAAACGGTTGAGAACTATGTGGAAAAATCACTTGAGAATTGTGTGTGTGTGTGTCATTCAGTCATTCTGAAATGAAAAGACCAAGACCAACAGAGTCTTGTGGGATCGACTGTGATACCTTGTGGGACCTCAAGAAATCAGAAGGAAGGCAATTGGGACCTCATCCCTCTAGGTTTTGGCAGCAAGTCCGGACCGACCGTCTCTCGACCATCCGACCGCCAGCAACAACGTCAAAGGAAACATATGCGTTTCATAAAAATCATATGTTTTTTCTCATAGCGGGAATTCTCTAGGATTTGGATTTCTCTGACGAACCTTTTTCAGGAGTTGACGGACGAACCATCGAAGACCCAAGACCCTGGCTTTTACAAAACCCAAGACCTCCGAAGCCATGGCAGTTTGTCGCTGAGAGGCAGGTTCTGAGCTCCCAAATGATTACAGTAGGGTCCCTTATTATCTCTTATTCTTCAACGTGGTGTCCAAAAGCTGTTGCAATACGTGAGATGAGAACTGTCATCGTGAGATGATGTTGATGGTCGTGAGGGCCTCACGCTACGGCCTGGAGGTTCTCACGCATCACCACGACTACGAATGGCCCGCCACGAATGGCGAACGCAAAGGAGATGTGTTCAAAACACCAATCAACTCGCTGCGAATTCGTCGGTCCCCACACTGTGGTCGGCATGGCTTGCCCAAGGTCAACCACCACACACTGGACCTGAGCTCTCACTTCGGACCCAAGGTCAGCCAGCGGTCTGAAAGTGTTTCAACTCTCACAGCCCACCGGATAGAAAGCTGAATTCTGGATTCTTCTCCAAGAACCCCGTGGGTCCAACAAAATGTCCCATCTTCTGGAAGTGAAGACGACCAAAAGGTCCAAAGTTCCTCCCCGCGATAAAAATGGTAGTCGAAGACGGCCGGGTGAGAGCTGATCTGTTACAACGGGGAAACGGCTGGAAAAACCATAATAGTAGTAACAATGATCATCAGTCATATATTGGTAAATCTGCGTGTGTGTGTGTGTGTCATTCGCTGAAGGGGTTAAGAATGACCATGGGACATAAATGAAGGTGTGCTTCACTGTCATTTCCCCAACAACCTGGACGATTCCAAGACCATTGGACCGCGCTTTCTATCGTAGGGGCTCCCAAGAAACAGCCCCTCCGGCGGAGGACATGGCCGCCTCAAATTCTGTATATGACTCCAACCTACTAGCGATGGCCTCTCGTTGGAGGACATACAGTACTTTTGATTGGAAGGTGTGTCGGCCACTCGGTTGGATAGACCCGAGCTGACGAAGCGGCACCGAGCCTCCCGTGACCGTGAACGTCTCTCACGGCGGACGTGAGAGGCCAAGTGACAAGTCACACATGGAAGGAATCGGCCTTCTCTCGTCCGGGTGGTTTTTAGGGGAACAACCAGCGCTGCGAGCCAGGGAAGGAGCCGGCACAGAGAAGCCATCAAATAAAAGAATCAAATCAAAACCTCTTGGTTGAGAGAGTGGAGATATGCCCCTTTCTATCCACAAACAGCGGCTGTTCCACGGAACCATCATACGAACGGAGCGAGTGCAATGCACGAAGAACTCGGGGGCTATGCCTAGCGAACGAGTTGAAAGATGATGAAATATTGATTGCTTGGCAAAAGGGAGATCTGAGAGGAACCGTTGTACCAACCAACAAATGGCTGAGCTTGGGAGCAACATGGACGCACAATAGAGCCCGTGCTGGGCTGAAATCGTGATGCAGGGAACAAGCAAACCATTGGGACGCTGGAACCGAACGGTCGACAAAGGCCCAACCAGGAAGGCCCAACCAGTGGACCCTGATGCCATGGGTCCAACCACAATGGGCACCACACCCACAGCTTGGCTAGTTCCGCAGGTCTCCGTGCCAAACCGGTTCGAAAGCGAAGAGCCACAGCCACGGAGCAGCCACAAACCAAAACCTCCAGGCGGCGTTCGGGCCTTCCACTTTTCCTCCGAGCCACATGGAAAGCTCGCGTGCGGCACGAAAATGTTTGTGTGAAACGAGACGTTCGACACACTGTGCCACGAGTTTGGCCGCCCGAACTCATTCCAACAAGGCCATCTCAAACTCAAACGACGGACGACTTTTTGGAAGGTCGTGGCCGCATCTCAGCATGCGACCTCGACCTGGCAACTCGCTCAATGACCTACCCGGTAAACCAAAAAGAGAACATCTGGAACAAATACCATTTGAATCCACCTAGAATTGGATGTCCAAGCATCTTCAGGCCGGTGCAAATAATCCGGTCAATTGTTTAAACGTTTTTTGGAAATCTGGCGCCTTCGCTTCCTTCCACCTGAGGAGAACTGAGGCGCTGAAGACTGTCGTGGCCCAAACACGCCCGACCCACGACCTGCACGCGTCAACGACCAACGACCGGAGCATTAGAAACGAGACCCCAAAAAAAGGGGAACCGAGGTGTCCATCCAAGAGAAAAGAGACAACTGATCAAGTGTCAAAAGCCCAGACCAAAAGGGTGTGTGAAAATCATTAGTCAGTTAATCGGACCAACAGCCAGCAATGATGGCCATCATGGAAAAAGGAAAAGAAATGAAAAGAACTCTTCGTTGCTGTGCAAGCTCAGCCCGTCATCGTTTCACGGTTGCACACATATTATGTGCAACTATCATCAACTATCTACAAGCCAAGCGAACGCAGCTGCAGTGAGCTTTGCTCAGTGCAAATGAATGAAGATTTAACATTCACCCCCAACTCACTCTTGCTCATGATATCTCATGACTCTTCTTTCTCTTTTTCTACACGTTTGTATCGACAAATATACCCTGGATAGATCAAGTTGTCGTCAAAGACAATGATCTCTCGATAGGTTCCACGGATCTTCTCCCGATCACCGAGGATGGATTGAAATCCACCCCCCTTGCAGGAGTTGGCGAGTTCATCACCGTCCGGTCGCTTTTCATCGTTGTAGTTCACACGGCCCAGACACGACAAGCACAGCAGGATGGTACGAAGATTCTTGGCACCATGGGGAGTGGTGTATTCGCCACTCTTCGATACAGCCTCCGGCGGACTGAGGGTCGGGTCTGAGGGTCGGTCTGACCAAAAGAAGGACCAGAAAAACCAAAGGAAAAAGGCAACCCGGTGGGAGGTTGCCCCCCTTTCCTCTTGAATGGAAAGACATGGAACGACACAGCAGACACTGCACGGGGTCAATCCGGAAACATCCCAATCTGTTTCTTCTGTCCATGCCTCAGCGAGATATGCTCCATTGCCTGACGAGCTCGGTTCTGGAGTCTCGGGTGCTCGGTTTGACAGAGTCTCGTGGCTTAGGTCTGCTGGTGAAGTGGCGAGACCACTCACCACTGAATCTCAACGACCTCTCCAACATCAAACCGTAAGTTGGCTTATCCTATCTGTCTTCGAATTAGCTAGGCCTCTACACTTGTTCAAACTGAGTCTCGCGCCGTACAGGGTACCAGCATTGCTTCCAGCTAAATTCAGCCGGAAATCTCCTTCTGTGATGCCGCTTTCACCTGCTCCTGACGTGCCATGATACAGCCAGTGCTCATTGATGCCCCCCGGGTACTGATCGCTCTGGAACCACTCGGCCCTCTCACCTTTCGTGCACACATCCGTTCGGAATTCGCCCGTCCAGGCAGGGCCCTTTTCTTGTAGCTCTTGGTAGACTTTCTGCCGTCTTATTTCATATTCCAACCAAGATCCACAATTGAAGACCTCATGGTGTGGTGAAAAAAGGAGCTCTTTGTCCAGCGATTTTGACATGAAAATAAAATCACGGTCACTGGAAGACGTTGTTTTCTCTACAGAGAGCGCTAAACGCATCTAGTCTATGTCATCTATTTTGTATGCTTTTTTCATCTCATCTCCTTCCAACAGCTGCAGGGTTCCCGCACCTGATCGACCTCTTCCACGGTCAAAGCATCTGGCACCTTCCCTCCCCTGCGATCTCGAGTGTAGCGATGCAAAAAGGTGTTCTCAAACAAGCCCCGGATCCACTCGAAGGTGGCACTCCGCACAGGCACATACTTCTTCATCACCAGATCACCACCGGAAAAGAAAATGCCATTCACTGCACAGCCATCGAGCCCTTGACGCAAGACACCAAGCAGATTCCAATCTTTGGGAAGCTGAAGCTCCTGCAAAAAGGCGTCCAAGCCAAAAGGATTCCGCCGATCCGTTCCAAGCGTTCACGTTTAAAACACACGCGTCGCTCTCGCGCACACCGAGCCTGACAATATGCCCCAACAATGACGTCCAGCGTCTCGCTCGACTGCAAAGTAGCACCCACCGAGCACAGTACTTCAGCTACGGCGGACTCCGCACCGGCATCTTCATCTTCTTCAAACCCTTCAAAATCATGGCCCTCATAGTCCTCCTCATCGTCCTTCTTGGGCACCTTCTTCGGCTGCGCGGCGATGATCTGCGCGATCAGGCCACTGAGGATGAAGATGCCGTAGCGCACCGCGTCCGACCGGCTGGGTGAATCGGTCGTCCCCTCTGTCCCGAGACCCGCCGTCTCACCCTCCCCCTCCCCCTCCCCCTCGCGAGAGATCCGACTGACCACCCACTTCAAGCGTGCCTCAAGCTCATGGTTGACCAATTCTTTCAGCTGTGCCACGTCAATTCCTCCACACTCTGCCAAGGTCAACAATTGCCAAAAGTCGCTCTTCAAAACCTGGAGGCAGCAGGGTGAGCGTTTCTTTCGCTTCGCAAAAACAGTTCTTCGAGAGAAGCGTTGGCGTTCGGTCGTCATGAAACATGGAGTGAAGGAGAAGGAGAAGATTCCCCAGTGTCCTTTTCTCCATTCTTCCGAACTGTTTTTGTTTTTTCCCATTCTTTGACAACACGAACGCCCGAACGGGAACGCTCCCAACGCTCGAACGCAACATCCCCCAACATCGTTGTCCGCACCTCTGAGATGTTGTGGATGCTCTCCACGGCCACTTTCGCGGCGCTGGTGCGACCCAAGTCGACCCGTGGATGTGCCTCGACGAAGCGTTGCAGCTCCGCTGTGAAGTCCACGTCCTGCGAAGCCTCACAAGAAGGCGAGGCTTAACATCCAGCGGATCTACCCCAAAGCGAGGACGCCTCTCCCAGTGCGGGAGAAGCTCGTGTCTTTATGGTGTTCCAGAGCGTCCTTGGAAATCATATGAAATCACATGTCTTTTCTTCAAGAGCAAGCAACAAAGGGCATCGCTACTAGGAGCAAGGACGCTACTAGGTTGGAGGTTCTTGAGTCCGTCCAGTGTGGCCATCTTGAAAGATGAGGAATTGCTTAGACATCCCCTTGGTGACGTCTGTATAAGCGGCGGCTTGCCATGTGGAAGACAAAATGGCATGAAAGCCTACATGTCGCTTCAAACCTGTTTTCTGCTGGAGAAACCGATGGTTTCCGTCATGTGATCTGTCAAAGCATCATGTGATCTGTCTTGGGTCTTTCCTGACCGTTGCGGTCTAGTCTTGTGAAAGACACAGATCGGGAAAGCTCTCAGTCTTGGACATGTCTGGACTGGTGGACCCAGAAATAAGAAATTTTGTGCAAAGCTCTGAAGACCATCGCTGTTGGCAACCACTCTGAGTCATCGCACACTGATCCTCCTTTTTACAGGCAGCGTTTTGGCAAGCTCAGACTCAAGACAACTTGCCAATCTTTTTGTCGGTCGAGTTTGGGGTATCACTCTCAGCTGGAGAGTATGTATGTTGCAGTGCCCAAAAATGGATCCTTCTTTCGCAGAATGTTGAAAAAATCTGTTGGGACTGACTTCGTAGGGCAATGTGACATTTGTGCGCGACCAATTCATAATTCAGTGCAGGGCGGCCACGGTGTCTCTTGTGTGATCGCAAGGAAAAAATGGCTTCCACTCTTTTCAATATCAAGATGACAAAAAGTTGCAGTGTGTTCAATTGAGTCTTGCTTGTTTGACTTGAAACAAAGAGTGTGAAGCACGGTTTGACTTGTCGTTCAATGGAAAAGTCATAGGAATCGCTGCAATTGTCAATGTTTAAAAAAATACAAATCTATCATGTCTATGTGGAAAGGTGAGATGATTCGAAACCCAAAATTGCGACACAAAATAGCGACACATTCGGCCTCCAGAACTGTTGGCATCAACTCTTCAACCACGAAGGAGAGCTTTCCACGGCTGAGTTTATGTTCTTTTAGGGTGCGAGCTTGCTCGAAGACTAAAGCCATCCGAATCAACTGGATGCACCTCATGTGGTCCCCCCAAAGGAGGGACAGAAGCTTGAAGCTTGAGAGGGATTATTCAAAAACACACCAGGCGTGCATGGTCTTGCAGCGATGCGTGATGTGTGGTTCATGATACATCAATTTCGTGGCAAAGCTTAGTACTTGAGGCTGTTGCTGATGTTGTGCCAACTAGTTGAAGGTTTTTCGTTTTACTGCTCATTGTTTGGACCAAAAAACATTGGTTAGAAGGCAGACAGCCTTTTCTTCTCAGTGAGATCGTTTTGTCAAGTCCTGACATGTGCTGATACCAAGATGTGCTGTATATATCTCCAAAAACGTAAAATGAAGAAACAAAAGCAGAACATGGCCGTGCAACTGGATCGTCCAACTGGAAGCCTAGGCACTCCCCTTTCTCAGATTTGTTGACGCTGTCGAATCTCGCACAGACGTACCTTGGTTTTGCTTAAGGAACTGTGAAAAAGACTAAAAATATTTATACCTGAGAAGGGGGGACGAAAGCCAGCAGCCGCCAGACGAGTGTCTCTTTTTCTGGCGGGCGTCGCGGTACAAAACACATGGTCGGCAGCTTGCGAGTCAGCGGTGCCGCGGATGCGGGGGGGCGTATGTAATGGTGATTGAGGGAGCAGAGAAGCAAGCCGGGCGGCTGTGGGATAAGTTTGGTAAATATGAATTAAGTAGTGAAAGAGAAATGCGATACGTAAGTTGGTGTAGGTCATCATCACTTACAAGGCAATGGCATGTGTTTGTCACGCGCAGGAAGGCATGCATCTTATGGAAGTTGGAAGGCGACAGCAGCGTTGGCGAAAGGTAAATACCGTCTGGGTTCGATTGGTGGGATACCACCGCGGCGCGCAGGAAGACCTTACTCCATAGTGAGCGTCACCGCGCGCGTGCGCGAGTGCGGCATGCGTTTGAAAAGGAACAATTCTGTGTTTGTTCCATTTGGAATGTTTGAAGTTTGCAACGCATACTGCGGCACGTCGACAAGCCTTCGTTGATTTGGAAAAGTGAGCGGGCACGTCTTAGCCGGGATATGGACGTTTGATCCTGCGGCGCAGAAGGGGAGGTCCAGCAAAAAAAGCTTGGGCTAGCAAAGGAGTGAGGATTTGTGCTCCTATCGATGCACATGCCTGGACTTGAGTGAGTCATGTCCTGGCTCAATCCAAAACACAATCTTTTTCCTTTAAAGGGGCCTTTATTAAACGATCCAAACACCTTCTTTATTCTTCTCTTTCTTATCAACTCTGCGCCTTTCTCGCTCAGAGGCCTTGACTTTGGCACCTGCGTGTGTAGATCTTTGGGCCGTGGACCCAGGCTGACTGGATTTGGCCAGGGCTGCCAGCAAAAAGGCGACGTCATGAGTCTCTATCTCTCTCTCTCTCTATCTCTGTATCTCTATCTCTGTCTCTATCTCTATCTATCTATCTATCTATCTATCTATCTATGTATCTATCTATCTATCTTTCTATCTATCTATCTATCTTTCTATCTATCTTTCTATCTATCTATCTATCTATCGATCGATCGATCGATCTATCCTTCTATGTATGTATGTACGTATGTTTGCATGTGTGTATGTATGTATGTATGTATGTATGTATGTATGTATGTATGTATGTATGTATGTATGTATGTATGTATGTATGTATGTA